ATGAATGAATGAATGAATGAATGAATGAATGAATGAATGCAAACACTCTTAGTGACTGAGACAGCTTTTGCCTTTTTCATGAAATCTTGGGCTGGTGTAAAATTGGTTATTGTTTTTAGAAGGAGTGTGATATCATATACTGTATAGCCCATAATTGTGGTATTCCAAAGGCCTATACGTTTTGTGTTGTCTAGTTTAAATTTCAGTCTCTTACTCCTCTCAAGTCCAAAATAGCATCGAGAAACAGCTGCTTGTAAACTTGATGTGTAGAGAGAGATATTTCTATACAATGACAGTGTTTTCAAATGAATGGATATCACAGAGAGGCACCACGTTCTGCAAAATCTTGCAAGTGATAGAAAAGGACTTGATTGTCCATGATATTTATCAGCCAGAGGTTTGTATGTCACAATACTAAAATTATTGTTGTCACTGTAGATTTAAATTGGGAACCCACTATGTCTGTTTTCTTCCATGGCACAGGTAGAAGAAGGTTGGTGGGAAGGAGTGCTAAATGGGAAGACTGGCATGTTTCCTTCTAATTTCATAAAGGAGCTTTCGGATTCTGATGATGCTAGAACTGCCCATGAAGAGCACCTGATAAAACCGAGTAAGCATATAAGCATTCATTTCATTTAAGCTTTGGTTGGATTCTTTTATTGTACAGTGGCATTTTTTCCCCTCTTTTCTAATGAACAAAATCTAACAAATCTGTAGAAGTTGTGCAGTGAACTGTATCAGGTAGAACAGAATTAATAGTAAATTTAGCGAGCCTCAGAGTTTTAACCTCCCTAGCTGCTCTTTTTCTGATTGAATGACCTTTTTGCTCATTTTCCTTAACCATAACTTGGCATTATATTTTACCACTGGAAGTTCTGAAATGCTAATTCAGAAATTCAGTTGAACTATCCTTGATAAAGTGATGCTCCTATCCTCTAATGTCATCCACTGGGATTATAGTTAAAAGGATAACATTACATTTGCAACAGCTTTACTTTTTTCTTTTGCTTGATTCTTAGCATCTCTTTGTCTTTTCTGTCAGTGGTGCTGCTGTTACTGGAGCTCAGGTCTTGGTCAGTAAACCCAAGGAATGGCCTGCACAATCATTTATTTATTTATTTTTATTTATTTATTTTTATTTATTTTCAAATTTGTATGCCAGCCATCTCCCCCAATGGGTGACTCTGGGCAGCTCACAATAATAAAAAAGAAAAAACACAGAACTCTCCAAACATAGACATAATCTATAAAT